TGGTAACATTTCACAGAATCACAGAACTAGAGGTGGGAGGGACCTCGGCCGTCACCCAGTGCAACTCATCCATGGAAGGAATCTCTGATTCAGCTTAGCTGACCACATGTTCACTCCCCTAGCTGGGCTTCCATTTCCCCTCCCCTTCCCCAGGCTGTTGTGTGGATCTGATGAGATGAACCATGTCATGTGCTTTGTAAACCTTGCAGCACGAGGTAAACACTAGCTATACTAAAAGTAATCATGAATGATACCAATAATAATTATTATTATGAAGGTATGTGTGTCAGCACAGTACATGTTGGAGATGGGACTTCACCAAAGTTATCCCCCAGTGTCTTTCCCTGTAGATGAAAGCACTTTGGACTTGTCATGACTTTGGAGTCAGAGGACCTGAGTTCTAATCTCACCTCCACTTGTGTGACCTTGGGCAAATCACTTGGGTCTCAGTTTCCATGTATGTGAGATTAGGGTGCTGGGAGCGTGGTATTCATTGTACTCTAGGGCTACATAGAGTCCTTTTGGAGGCAGAATCTGAGAGGTGGAGGAGCCCCCAGAGGCTCCAGAAGCCCATCTCTAGCTGACCAGCAATGCTGGTATCTACCCCCTTCCCAAGACGGCCATCCAGCCTTTGCTTGAAGGCCTCCAGTGACAGGGAAGGAGCCTCCTGTCTCCCAAAGCAGCCTCTTCTGCTCTCGGAATGGCTGCACTTGTCAGGATGGTTTTCTTTCTGTAAAACCTGAATCTCTTTCTTTGCTACTTGCACACACTACTGCTTTCTTCTACCCTTTCTTCTTCACAATCCTTCCCACTCTGGAAGATCCCTCCATTTCTTCTCTTCTCCAGACTGAGAAGCCTTGGGTCCCTCACCAGCTCTCCTCTGGCAGGTGCTCAAGGCTGTTACCCTCCTACTTACCTGCCTGTGGACGCTCCCCAGCTAGCAGGACACTAGGTCAGGTTCCTTGCCATGGCCATGGTAGATGTCTGAGCACAGAGTCCAGATGGAGCAGAGAGACCCTACAGATGGGAGACCGTTCTGTGGATGCTTCAGGTCCCAGAATTTACTAAAGTCTCCTAAAATCCATGCCATTCCACCAACATTTTAAAGCTCCTGCTGTGTTGAGTGAATACATGATTGAAAAGCATTTATTAAGCACTTACTATTTGCCAGGCAAGTGCTAAGGGCAGGGGATATGGGTATAAGCAAGTGAGATGGGGAAGCAACACAGTGGGCCAGAGATGAGGCAAGATGAGGGGCCACTCACCAACCAAAGGCCATGTTCAGGAGGCCTGGATCTGAGGCCCATCCAGAGGCGGAGGCTGTGAAGTGAGGGGCCTGGAGTGGTGATGGGGAATTAGCTCTCACAACTGAGGCAGGCCTAACAAGACACACAAAGTGGATGATGAGTGTGTATGCCCCAAGTGTGCCATGCAGCTACGTGGCCAGTCCTGGAATGGATCCACACACATTGGGCAGACACTCCAGGTGCACATGAGCTGGACAGAGAACTGAACGGAAGAGAGGGGGCTGGCTGGCATTAAGGAGAATGTAGGGCTGCCAGGGAGTGCCTCCTGCTCCCTAAAACAAAATCCCACCTTCTTAACAATGTATGGCACAGATGAAGAGGCTTCCCATCTCTGGTGAATCATCTTTGCAGGTGGCCCCAGAGGTCGTGGAAAGACATGGTACAAGAAGAGAGATGAAAGACATCAAAATGGACGCAATGATAAGAAAGGGAGATGGGCTGGTCATATAATGAGGAGGGGGGGATGAGCAGCCGACTCCAGCATTACACTCCTTTCCTTGGAAGACTCAGTAAAGGAAGGCCTCTGACACGTTGGGAAGGTTGGTGGACAAGGATGACACAAGATGGCGGCCTTTGGTGGGAAAAAGATCACAAGACTATTTCTACATCATAGTTTCTGGAGCATGGACAGTGCTCAGCTCCGGGGGGCTCGTGGTATGAAAGCCCAAGATCTAGAGGCATCAGAATGAGGACATGGCAAAGCCCAGCAAGAACACTCAAAATGAGACACCAGGCTCTGGTCAGGGCTCTCCGGCGGCTTTCTCTCTTTCCTTAATGCTTTGACAGCACTCTCCTGAAAGTAAAACACGCGTCCTTGGAAAAGAGAAACAGCCGTCCGCGGTAGCTCAGGGGGAAGAGCTGTCTAACATGATTCACTGAGGAACACCTCTGCAGGACGTTGCAAATGGTGCTTCGAAGGCCCGGACGTCCTGGTGGGAGAAAGGGAAATTCCACGCGATTCATCAAAGCTCCTGCAGTTCCGATTTTGAGGCAGGTAGAAAGGGACATCAATCTGTGCCTCCAGCATCTCCTGCATAACAGAAGGTGGAGCCCGAGGCAGCGCCCTGGCCTCACCGGAGCCCCAAGCCCAAGACGCTCGTGCCTCTGTGACCACGATTTATGGCCAAGGGAGGGTTTCCTGGTAGATGTTGTGACAGTCCTACCAAGAAGAAGGCGAAGACGCTAAGGACAATGTGGCGTGTCCCCTCCCTCCTGAATGAATGCTTCCTCCCCAAATCCCAGTGAGCCTTCTTAATACTGATGATTCAAGAACATTTCTATCTGACTTCCGTGTACTCAGAACCTAACAGAGAGAAAGAAAACACAAGTCAGGGCAACCTGGTGGTGCAGTGGATAGGGAGTTCAAATCCAGCCTCAGAAATGGCTGTGTGATCCTGGCCAAGTCACTGCCTCGGTTTCCCCATCTGTAAAATGAGGATAATAACAGCACCTCCCTGGCGGGGTTGTTGTGAGGAGCCAGTGAGATGGTAATTATAAAGGGATTAGCACAGCATCAGTCACATAGTAGGTGCTATAGAAATGCCATACAATTGGACCTCGTAGTAGCTGGCACACTGGTCATTAGGAAGGAACAGCAGTGGTACAGCTAGTTCCTCTTTTTCTTGCCTGAAGCAAGCGCATAGATTGAGTCTGCCCGGGAAAGCGGTGCCTCTATCTGCATTTTATGTGTCTGTAGAAGACGCTCTTCTGCAGGCTGATCCATCCACGAAGCATTGGGGCTAGCAATAATTACCAGGCACTTCTTCAAAGAGACTCTGTGAAATTAAATTATTTAGTCTTCTGACTGGAAGGGACATTACAGTCAGCTGAGTGTACTGTTTCTGTTTTCCCTCTGTGAAGTCCCACTCCGGCATCTCGCTGTGGCGCGGAGGCTGTCCTGGCCTCTTTTCTCTGCTCCTTCCTCTCCGGGTCTCAGCGTCTGGACCCTGCGCAGGCCTGTCCTTGTTCCTTCACTGACCCTTAGGGATGGGGAGTGTCTGCAGCAGCAGTCTCTTCCCCCCTGGTCCGGACTTGAGCATTGCATCATCATTAGCCCTTTCAAGACACTCAAATATATTCATCTTTGTTCTGGCTTCTGTTTTTTCTTCCAAAAATTCTATTCAGTGTGGTTCTTCAAACAGGAATACTTGGACATCATCGATTTACTTTTGTTTTATCTTTTTTTTTTCCTACTCTTTCCTTTCTCCTATTAACTGCACAATCCTGCATAATTCTGAATGGGGCCCCTTGGCACGTAATATGTCTCCTGCTAGCAGTGTTTTTTCTTTGACATAGGAGTTCTGGAGTTTGGCAATCACATTTCTAGGAGTATTAACTTTGGAGTTTCTTTCAGGTTCTTTCAATTCACCTGCAGGTTCTAATAGTTCTGGTTAGTTTTCTTCTGTGATTTCTTAGAATGTGCATGCGAGCTTTCTGTTTACTTATACTTTCTTGGAGAACACAATGATTTTAAAGTTGTCTGCACTCATCCTGTTTCCTAGTTTAGTGCTTTTTGAGGGTAAATGTGGTTATGTTTTCTTCCCCCTTTTCAGTCTTCTGGTTTTGCTTTTATGGGTCTTGTTGTAGCATTGCGCTTTTTAGTTCTTTTCCCACCATGCTGCGTTTTTTTTTCCCCAGTGTCCACTACTTTGGTAAAATTTTCCACTTTCTATTCTAAATTTTTTTATTATCCATCCAAATTTCCCTTAAAAGGTCTACTTTGACAGTCTATCTTGTCCTTACTTTATTTAAGCAGGCTTTCCATTTACTCTTGGTCCTTAAGTCCAATATAGCCTGTTTTCTAAGGTTCTGCTTGTAATTTAGGAACAGTAGTGTGGGAGAGTCTGGAGCACTGAACTTGGAGTGAAGGTGGGCATTTGAATCCTGCCTCAGATAGCTGTGGCTCCCTGGGCTACCTTCTCTGTGCCTCAGTTTCCTCATCTTACAAAGGAGTCGAACTTGATGGCCTGTAAGGCCCCTTCTATCCCCTCACCGCTGATCCTATGATCCTCTTTTCTCTTCTCCTAATCTGGAATCTTATCCCAGGATTGTCTTAAGCCATCGTATTTTATCATTGCAATTGCGTTTTCTCATTTCTTCAGTCTCCCCACTAGGACTGCTTCTTCGCAGTTTTGTTTGTGGGTCCTGTGCAGGCTGGCTGCCATACTGAGGTCTCAGTTCTCAGCCTGCTCTAGGGGATCTCAGAAGCCTAATTGACAGTGGCTTCTGGGCCCTTCCTTTTCTGCTCTCTTGTCCTACTGTACTCTCCCTTATATTGTGCCTCTGGTAGAGCATAAGTTCCTTGAGGACAGGGACTCTGCCATATTTTTTCTCCTCTGTATCCCTGGAATATAGTACTTTGTATACAGTAGGCAATTAAAGTCTTTATTTGGTTGCATCGTATTGCTTTGATTTTGGTAGTTCACCCAGTTGTGCAACTTATGGAGTAGAGATTGAGTTTCTCTGAATATAAGAAATTAAGCCCCCAAGGATTTCTGAGGATGGCCCATTTTAGACCTTCTCCTTCCTCCAGAAGGAGCCCCACCCCCCAGGGGTCACTGTGGCACTCAAGGGGAGGCATCAGTGGGTCTTATGAACTGAGCCAGTTCATCTGGGCCCTGGCAGCCCTTTGGAAGGGGGCGCCATGTTTCTGGGCAAGGCTGCTGACATGTCACCCTCCTTGTCTTTCCACAGAACCACGTGAACCCAGCCATGGACTTCACCCAGACTCCCCCGGGAATGTTGGCCCTGGACAATATGCTCTACTTTGCCAAACATCATCAAGATGCATATATCCGGGTAAGTGCTGCGGCCCCTTCCCCACCTTTGAATTTCCTGTGGCGTTTCATTCGTTGTTTTGATACTGGGTGTATTTGAGAAACTGTCCTCAGAACCAAGGATTCAGAGGTTTTGGTCAGAAATGTTTTTGCTACGTGTCAGTCATTCCTTAGAATAAAAAGAGTGCTTAAAATGCACAAATGTTGGATCGAATTTACTCAGATCAAATACTAGTTATTGAACGTATTATTAAAGCTCTGTTGAGTGCCTACTACGTGGGAGGTTCTGGGGGTACAAAGAGTGGAAACAAAATTGTCCCTGCTTTGAAGAAAACGCCTTTCTTTGCGTGGCTTTGTCGAGAGCTCTGTTTCTCCTGGTCCCCATGAGAAAGAGCCTCGTGACTGGTTCTTGATAGTTGGACTAAGCAGAGACCATAATCTCTCCATTTCTCCCAATGGATGTTGGGAAACGTGTCCAAGCTCTTTCTAATGGGCCTTCCTGCCCCCAAGCAGGTGTTTGGTTCATGGTCTCCAGTCTAGGCAGACCCCACTTTTTAGACATCCCTGGAATGCCCTGGCTTCTCAAGGCGTGGCCACCACATCAACATGTGGGTCTTGGAGCAGGCACTATCTATCAGCCTGGTTTGCGGCCCACCATCTCCTCCCCTAGCCTGAACACCCCTCCTCTGAACCGCTTCCCCTCCAAGGTCTCTGGCTCTCACAAGCAGCTAGATCATCGAGTTTCAGAGGAAGCTGATGGGTGGGCAGAGCGAAGCCGGCTCAAAGAGGAGGACTCGGCCCTCCTGAGCTAGGACTGAAGGAAGAGCTCAGCAGGGACCCTCCATCCCAAGGGGCACCTGGCAAGCTAAGCATGTTTTTTGTGGCATGTGGTGATGTCTGACATTGGCGAGCCTGAGAACGTGGTGGTTGGTGGGGGGCAGGGAAGGGATCCAGGACATGGCTTTTGTTGCCTTCATCACCCAGAGTCCAGTGGCCTTGGAGGGCGGCCTAAAACACACAACTTCCCTGGGGACTCCCACAAAACACAAGGAAACACAAAAAATTAGAGGATCCAAGCACCAGAACACCAGATGCTCTCAGCTCTCCAGTGTGGAGGTGACCCCTGGCTCTATTACTTGGGCTTTCTCTCTCTTTTTGGACAATGTGATGGCATCTAATGCACCCAGTGAGGCCTGCCCACCCGCTTGTTTGCACCATCTGCGGAGAGCCCTGGCATGGGAAAGACAGGACACTGCCCCTCTTAGTCCTGGATTCCCAACCATCTCCAGGTCAGTTTGCTAAAACAAACAGTATTACTGTGAACATTTTGTTATAAAGAGTTTTAGAGACTGACTTAACAATTTAAAAAATTCTTACTGGGCACCATAATTTAGACTATTGGGAGATATTTTAACTAGTGCTCATCCTTTGGCCCTGATGTAGAGAGAGGTCATAATTTAATTAGGCCACCCTTTAATGGGTTGCGTGTGTGTGTGTGTGTGTGTGTGTGTGTGTGTGTGTGTGTGTGTGTGTGTGTGTGATGCCTTTCTGTTAGGGTATATTGCAGAATGTGGCTGCCAAAGCCCGGCTTGTCTTTCCTTCTCCATCTTTGGAGAGAAGCTGTGTTCCCAGCTGTCCCCACTAAAAGAAAGCAAAGCTGGTTTTCCTCGTTGAAGGGAGGAGGAGGAGGAAGAGGAGGAGGAGGAAGAGGAGGGTGGGGCTTGACACACTCCCACAGAGGGAGGGAGCCAGTGAGCCCTTCTATCTCTTGTTACAAAGGCTGATGGGTAGTGAGGAGCTGGGCCGGCAAGGTTAGTTTTCTGTTTATTCCCTGCTGTCTCCCTCCATGGGGTAGCAGCAGCAGCAGCCTCGGGCTTCTTTTTGCTGGAATAACCCAAGGCCTGCTGACTCCTCCTTGGCCTTTCTCCAGAGGCATCATGGGGTAGTGGTTAGGTCACTGGCCCTGGAGTCAGGAAGACTGCCCACTAGCTGTGTGGCTTGGGCCAGTCCACTTGGCCTTTCTGAACCCTTCTCTGCCCCATGCATTGGTTATGAGAATGGTAATCAATCAATAAATATTTATTAAGCACCTACTGTGTGCTAGGCACTGCGCATACAAAAAGAGGCCAGACAGTGCCTGCCTTCAGGGAGCTTGCAGTCTAACGGGGGAGGCCACATGCAAGCAAATAGGTACCAGCAAGCTACAGGATACATAGGAAATAAGAAACAGAGAGAAGGCTGCAGACAGAGCCCTGGGCCTGGAGCTAGGAAGACCTGAGTTCAAATCCAGCCTCAGACACTTTCTAACTGTGTGACCCTAGAAGTCCCTTAACCTCTGCTTGCCTCAGTTTCCTTATGTGTAAAATAGGGATAAAAATAGCATTTGCCTCCCAGGGTTGCTGGGAGAGCAAATAAGATAATATTTGTAAAGTGCCTGGCACATAGTAAGGGCTGTGTAAATGCCAAAGCTGTTATTATTGTAGGACTGCATAAATTATTACATAAAGCAAAGTTCATATTATTGTAGGATCATGGGATCACATAGAGAGAGCTTGGAGGGACCTCAGAGGTCATCAAGCCCAACTCTGCCTTTAATGTATTAAGAAACTGAAGCACAGAGGGACTTGTTCTGAGACACAGCTACGTAGGATTTGAACTCAGGTCTTCTCGACTGCCATCCTCACCACAATACCTTTGATTACAGACCTCTAGACTGGGTCTTCCACTAGTGTCATGGCTTCCTAGTAGTGTAGACTTGGGGTCAGAGGATCTGAGTTGAAATCCGGCCTCGTCTGCTTCTTGATCATCTGACAACAGGCCGATCACTCAGTGTCTTGGAACCTCCATTTCCTTTTCTGTGAAATAGAAACCTTAAGCCTATAGGTTTGTCCTAAGGAGAGAGCTCAGGGCACTAAGAAACTAGAGAATTTTCTTCCTTTTTTTGTACCTCCCTCCTGGGATTGTGGGACAGCTGGGTAGCACAGTGGGTACAGTGCTGGGTCTGGAGGCAGGAGGACTTGAATTCAAATCTGACCTCAGACACTTTCTAGCTGTGTGACTTTGGGCAAGTCACTTCCCCTGTTTGCCTCAGTTTCCTCATCTGTACAATGAGAAGGAGATGACAAACCCCTCCAATATCTCTGCCCCGAAACGGGATCACAGAGAGTCGGACATGACTGAAATGACTGAAAGCAATAAGTTCCTGGAGGGCAGGGCCCTGTCTGATGCCCTTGAATCTTCCAGGGTCTCTAGGATACATTTGGCACAGGAGCCAGTAGAGTGGATGCTCCCCGAGGGCAGGGCTGGTTTCCCTTCCCTCCCCTCCATCCCTAGGCACCAGGCCTATGACTTCATTGGTCTCTTTAGAACTCATCCTTTGAGGGTGTTCCCTGAGGCACAGAGAGGTTGCCCAGACTGTCCAGGGTTGCTCAGCCAGTGTGTCAGAGGCCACTCTGGTGCCCAGGCCCCTGTAGCCCCATGCTGCCCCTCACAGCGGAAGCTCTTCATGCTGTGGCATCCATCAGCACCTGTGAATTGACTGAGGACAGTTTTTGCCCGAAGGGCTTTGGGACCAAGGAGCACATGAGAAGCAAAGTTTTCCGTAGGACGTGTGGGTGGTTCATTTCCAGTGGGGAGCAGGGGGGACCCACAGACTCTTCATTCTTTTGCTCTGGCTCTGACCCTGGGTAGGGCAGAGAGGAGAGCCTGGCGTCCCTTCCTGCCCCACTGCCCTGGCCAGGCAGTGACTCAGGAGAGGGAAATGGGATTGGACCTTGCCAGAAATGAGCAGAATGGCTCACATTAGGCCCCTAATGAGGCCTGGGTGCTCCGCCCCTCAGGGAGGGCTCTCAGTGTGTCCAGGCTGTCCACTCAGCCTGTGCTGCGGGCATAAAATGGGACCTCTGTGCCCAGAGAGCTGCTGAGGGATGGGGGAGGGGAGACTGAAGCTTTGTACTAATTTACCGAACTTCACACATGCCAGAGGGGAAATTGGCAGTGCCCCAAGCTCCATAATTACAGGACAGTTCATAGCATGTAATTAAAGTTAATGACGAAGTAAATGATGGGCATAAAGCTCTGTGGCAGACTATTCTTTGTTCTCCTGGCACTGACGTTCTCTCCTCCCCCTGTCCCCAAAATCTTGCTGGAGGCGGCTGCCAGGCTCACCCTCATCATTGATTCATTCATTCATCTATTTATTTTCTTAGTCACCCATCCATTTCTTTATCTATCTTCTCATTTATTTATCATTTATAGGTTTATTTACCTATAGATTAATTTACCTAGCTATTTATTCATTTGTTTGTTCATTTAATTTCTCTCCATTCATCTCTCTTTCCATTCTTTTGTTCATTTCTCTCTAGCTCTCAATTTTCTCTTTGTTGAGATTATGTGCTGCGGGTGATCTGGGTGATCTCAAGCCTAACTCAGCTCACAGAGCCTGGGAGGCTGGCCTTAGCCCGAGAGAATTGAGATTGAAGTCCCCCAGCCTCTGTGGGTGTCTGGCCAGACTGTCCTTGGCCGAGGTCCACAGCCCCAGGGACAGGCTTGTTCCTTATTGTTACCAGCCTAGGGCAGGGGTCATCCTTGCCTCTGTCTACCTCAGTTTCTTCATCTGTAAAATGGGAAGAATAGTAGCCCCTGCCTGCCAAAGTTATTGTGAGGATTGAATGGGATAATATGCCTTCCCTGCTGGATTCTTGCTTGTTCCTGTGAAGACAGAGAATAATAGGAATGACTCACATTTCTAGGTCACTGTAAAGTTTGTGACCAACATGGGTCACTGTGTTGGCTCGAGCTCACGTTGCAGATGTGTGCATAGGAAACTGAGGCAGGCACAGGTTGAGTGACTTACCCAGGGTCACCCAGCTAAGAGGTGTCTGAGGCAGGATTTGAACCCAGAGCTTCCTGACTCCAAGCCCAAACCTCATTCAGAACTCCAGGCTGTTTCGAGATCTGGGTTCTGAGATGGACATCAGGGAAGGCTGCAGTCTCTTACCATCGAGGCCTCTGAACACCATC